TCTCTGAATCAGTGAAGTTTTAATTATTTCTAACGAATGGTTCATTACACCTCTTGCTATCAGCTTAATAGGGTCGTTTCACTTTTTGTACTTTGCAGTACGTCAGTAATGATTTCATACCCTCCGTAAGGTATATACAAAAGATCTAGTGGTAAACCTTGTTATAACCATTCCTTCTCCTGCTTTGGTGCCGCCGAGGATGAAATAACATGGCGAGGTAATGAGCATATTTTGAAGATATTCGGAAGCTTCTTCATAATTATTGGCAGATTCAAACATCTAAAAGTGGTGAACACAAAAGAATATAAAATAGACTGAAATTCCAGCTAAAATCACCCATAAATTTTTTTCCAAATGTAGAAAAAATTAGTAAACAGTGCGGCAAAAATAAAGTTTTACGCACGCAAATTTGTTTACTTAAAGCCAGACAAGAATCAGATACTTCTGCAGCTAATGTTTCAAACATTTGCAGCATTGTAATCAAACAAACTTCAGCTAAATAGCGATTTAAAAGGCATACCATTCGTATGCCCATCTCAACTGGCATTCGGAAACCAGTGTAGATTTGCATTAGTATTGTCGCAATGTACCAGCCAGTCCCTAGAAACCGAAACAAAAAGTTTTGTACAATAATTTTTTAGTCTTCAAATTTCCAAGACTATGTAAACAATTCTCAAACTGCTCTCTGCGTAGCCATGAACACCCAAACTTATATGAGTGATTACTTCTAGCGTTCAAACTGAATGTGTAAGCGAAAGGTTTTTGCGCCGTTAACAGACCAACAAAGTATGCAAATGTAATTCCTGTATAAGCGACCTGAAACAGTTCCGCATGCATCATAACGCTGCTACCGCCAATTGTTATACAAGTAGGATCAGAAAAGGTTACGATTAGAAAAAATAAAATTGTGGCATGGAAAAGAATATAAAACCAGAGGCACCGTGTCATTTCGTGTAAACTCGACTACAACTGAAAGATTTTTTAGCAGTTCTGTCATCTGAAAATCTAAGTTTCTTCCGTGTAATATTCGGCCGCTGTCATCTTCGCCCACAATTGACGTACACCCATTTAATTTGTTCGCGAAGTTTCCTCTGAAAAATTGAAAAAAAAATCTTGAGTGTAATCTACATTATCTGACAGTAACGATAAATTGGGGATTTCTTGGCTATTCTTCGTATTCCTCGAATTCTACTTCATCTGACTAACAATTTTTCAACTCGCTGAGGAACTGTCTAGCCGGAAGGGAGCTTATGAAATTGGAAGAGATTAAAACGTTTCTTGTACAATTTAACACGCTGAAGAAAGGTCCTTCTTACAAGTTCAACATCATTAATCTGCAGCAAGGGTGGCAGAACACTATTGATATTAATGGTGAACATATGGTACATCCGTGTTTGTAATATAATTTCAAAATAAAAGTTTCCAGAACTTTTAGATTAATTTAATACAGTTTCTAGAGTAAAAAAGATCCAGCACCACAGAAATTAGTTAGACTTATTACAGAAAATCTAGTGCTGTATTAAAAACTTTACTAACTAAAAGGAAAATATACCACTAACATTAGGTTGTTGTAGTTGGTTATGTCATGCAGGATGTTTAGGCCGATAACCTCACAATATTCTAAGCCAGAAATATTTGCTATCCCTAAAAAAACTGCTGAGAAAAAACATCAATCTTTAAATGAATATTTTTCTAACAATTGCACAGAAGCATAATTTGCTGTTGATGAAAAAAAAAAGCTTTCTTAACTTTGTCGCTTTTTTCCACCTGCAATATCATTTAATTGAGATACTGATTTGTAGCTAAATAATTGAAAAACGAACAACAGAAGAAAGAAGCAACAATAACCTTCCATTTCCTTAGCATATTCATCTGGGAAAAGTAGTACAACTTTTTCTAAGAGCCAACACAAAATTGTACCAAACGGTGTTTTAAAATATCGACTGAAAATCAATGTCATACCGAATCAGTAAAGTTTGGCTAAAACTCAAACGTGGTTAACAATGAAGAAAGTCGGTGAAGCACAAAAAACTTACTAATTTTAAATTAAACAATATATTATTATGTTTCCTAATATTTCAAAAAGAAAAAAAAACAGCATCTAGACAACAGCAACAGTTTTAAAAAAGGTGTTGGCTAGATGCTTAAATCTTTGTCACTAATTTCAGGCTTATTATTAAGCTATCTAGTTTTTCAAATAAAACCAGTGCTTCTGTTAAAAATTTCTTTTCTTACTGCCTTTTAAAAATACCACTTTTTTATCGCAACAATTTGATGTTGGAATATTTCTGTCAACTTTTAAAACAAATGTAAACAAATCCATAGTTTTTAATGATAATTATTAATTTTTCTCTTAGAAAACAAATTACACTGGCAATAGTTCTCCACTGATCTCTGTTTCAGTTTTAAAAAAACATAACAACTATTAATAACCGCAAAAGATGGCAGTTTTGCTACGTTGTTAACTTTTTTTTCTGTTTATTTTGACTGCTATTTCATTTACAACTTATTAAAAATTATTGCTAACAAAAACAAAAGCATAGATCAAACATACCTAGCTTCCTGTTTTATTGCTGGTGCATATATTAAATGATCATCAATGACTTCCTTCCATCGAAGTTTTGGATCTTTATCCAAATCGACTTTATACAATTTTGGTTTCCGTAGTTGACAGTAGGCTAAGCCAAATAATAACGATACAGTTATTACGCATAAAATTCGCATTCTACAAAATACTGTAGAAATTATTTTGATTATTACATGAAACCTCAAATTTAAACCGAATAAAACTAATAAAAAAGAATAGATAAAGCCTTTTTTTTTCCTTCCCTCCCTCAAAAAATAAAGAATAGGTGGAGTGCAGAGAAGAAACTGGAGAGTAAAGAACGAGACAGGATAAAAAAATATAGAATGGGAGAGGTTAGGATGATACAGGATAGGAGAGGATATGACAAAATAGGATAAGATATGGTAGAATACGATACGATAGGTCAGGTTAGGATCGGATTTGTTAAGGAAATATATTGAACGATTAAGCCGCACTATATCATTCTGTGGGTTTAAAACATTGGTCGATACCAAAACTTTTGGTGATGTATTCATTCAATTACAGCGAAACACTTCAACCTTTAAAGACGTCGATCAATGCTGTCGTCCATCAACTAATTTTGTACATTTTGAACACACGAAAAGTCAAGTGTCAGAAGAAGTAGAAACAATTAAAAATTGATGTTTAACTAAAATATTTCTGCCTATTTTTTCTTCATTGCTTCTTCATTCTTTAATTTCCTTTTCCCCAAATTTTTTTTCTGCTTTTTTAATACATAAATATATACAAATATGAATAAATATATATCTATATACATTCTTATATATTTGTACTCATATTTATAAATATAAAAATATGTCTGTACAAAACAGCAGTTTTGGACCACTTATAACAAGGATTAAAGTTAAAAAACAAAATATTAGATAAATACTGAAAATAAATTTCTTTTTTTTTTACAAAACCGGTGTAATTTAAAAATGCAAAAAATATTCATATCCCATAATTAATTTTATAATTCTACAAAAAAAAAAGAGCTTTTGTTAATTTTCGCTTTCCCATACTTTAAAATTTTAGTCTTTTAATAAAACGAAAAAAAAAAACATGCAATATTTCAATTCTTTTATATTCCTTTTTTAAATGAAACATAAAACGGTTCTCTTTTTGATTTTACAGTTGAAATGAAATTAGTTTATAAATTTTTTTCCTTGCCTTTCTTTTTTCACTTTCTTCAAAAAAAGGTGATGACAATAATTCTGCATCATAACAGTAGGTAACTGTTAATTGTTGATACATTGATAATTTTGGTTTGGTGTTAGTCTGCAGAATCTGCGGAAGCAACCATACTATTTGTTGCAGTTGCAGCTACAGCAACAACAGCAGTATCAGAACTGTACTGTTTAACCGTCAATTTAACATCATCGATTATCGTCCAGTTAACGACTCAAAACTGTTGTAATGCTGTTGAACACATTTTTTTTTTTTTTGCATATAAAATAAACGAAAAAAAAACCCACAGAGAAAACATATTAAATTTCATTTTCTCCACACACGTCACTTTTTTAGTCATCATCTTCACCATTTTTCTGCTCCATTAATAAGGGTACAAAATCCTTAATACAAATTCAGAAAAAAAGCAGTGAAAGTAACAATATAATGATAATCTATAACCTGGCAATAAGCCGATT